GAATTTGTGTATGGTGTGAGATAGGGATCAAGATTTGTTTTCCACCATATGAATATCTAAGTGATCAAGCACCATTTATTGCAAAGTCCATCTTTCCCTCACAGTACTACAGTGGGACTCTTGTCGTAATCAGGTGACTGTTTATATATGGGTCTATTTTTAAATTCTCTGTTCTCTTCCATTTGTCTAATTATCTTACTTTGTTTTTGAATTCTATACCTTTATAGTAATTCTTGGTATCTTCTACTATAAATCCTCCAGCTATTTTCTTATTTGTCATGATAAGGTTAGTCTTATCCCTTTGCATTTTCATATGAATTTTAGAATCAGCTTGTCAATTAAAAAAAAAAAAGCTTGAATTTTAACTGGAATTTCATTGAATCTATAAACCAATTTGAAGAGACTGATGCCTTTCCATAGTGTGTCTTTTAATCCATGAGCATGAGAATGGTTTAGTCATCCCTCCTCATTTATTTAGGTCTTCTTAATTTCTTTCAGGAATGTTTTGTAGTTTTTCATGTAGAGGTCCTGCTCATCTTTTGTGAGATTTATTCATAAGTATTTGATGGTTATGATACTATTGTAAATGGTTCTTTTAAAATTATATTTTCTAATTTTGTCAGTATGTTGAAACAAAATTGATGTTTTATGCTGCTATTGTATCAGTGATGTTGTCAAATTCACTTATTATTTCTAATAGTCTGGATTCTTATAGATTCTATATGTACACTATCATGACATATATGACTAATCACAATTTTATTCTTGTTTTCCAATCATTATATCTTTCTAATTTCTTTTCTTTTACTTAAATCACTACATTGACCAAGACTTCCAGTATAATGTTGACTACAGGTGGTGAGAATGGACAAAGTTAGGAGCCTTTTGAAAACCTAGGTACCCAGTTCTCATCCCCTCAAAATTCAGCAGGTCCAGGTTGGGGGCCTTGAAAATCTATATTTTAACAAGTATTCTAAATGATATCAATGTAAGGGTGTCCTAGAAACACACTTTGAGTAATATTTTTAAAGCCTCACTCACCTGAAGAGTTTTCTTGATTAGGATGGATTATTGCTCTCTTCTTTCTTCCTTCTGTTCCCACCTTCATCTTCTTCCATGCTGGTGATAGAAGTATAAAATATTACTTTTTTGAGCACTCTATTTTGCTGCTTCTCTTTCTCTGTCTCTAGGTCTGGATATAACATGCATGTATGGGTCTTCAGTGTTAAAATGTTGTCTGGCTTTAGAAAAGAAAAAAATCCTCATCCTGAGTCAGCAGTCCTACTCAAAAAGAAGAAATCTTTTTTAAAAAGTATATTCAAAAGTTGTTGAGATCACAGTTGAATTCAGTTCTTTCTATATACACACCCACACCCACACATGCACACATACAAACAATCATAGGGGTGTTGCCACATGATGAAAACAGTATGAGGGAAAAAAAACAGATTCTAAAGGATACACAGTTGTGTAAAATAAAACTTGAATAATATGAAATCACTTGAGAGAAATATGGATACCATGTGGTTTCCTAAATATGGTTAGTTGCAAATCAAAGGAACAATATATTTTCTTAGATTAAGAGACAAAATATGCCATGGATATTCATGAAAGGAAGGAGAGATAGAAAAATAGCTGCAAATATCATAGAGTATTAGAGCTGGGCGGGGCCTTTAAGATCATGTTAGCTGACCCTGCCATTTTTATAGCTGACATGACAGAGATCCAACCTGGTGGAGTGAGTGACTTGCCCAGTGTTACTTGGTGAAGTAGTAGTGGTAGTACTGGGCGCAGCACCCAGCATCCCAGATTCTACCCCAGAGCTTCTTGCCTGATGTCACTCAGATGGTTTATGATAAGAGATCACATATATGAACAGAATCCCAGAGAATAAAGAATGTGGATACATCCACATCAGAATGTGGATACCACAGAAGTGAGTCCTTCATGCAGGATGAGAGGGAGCTACATGAAACGGGATCAATTTTGTGAACAAATTGTAAGATGTGAGAAAGGAGGCAAAGTGAAAAGGAAATGGGAAAAACTAGTGAGACAAAGAAAACAGTAAATTAGGGAAGTGAAAAAATGAAAGATAATATAAATAAAAACACAATAAATTAATTCAAGAACATGTAGACAGATGTAGTATTTTTCTGTCATTTTTGTCAAAAATGTATCTATCTAGAATTGTTTCAATAATAAAATGTCCATAATGAAATTGTACATTTAGACGCCTTTAAAGAAAATTACACCTAAAGTAATGGCAAAGTTAAGTTCTTAATCTTCTAAAATGCTGAAGGAAGAAGATCTAGAAATCCAAAGATGTACTTCTCTATATCAAGAACCATTAAATGTAAAATCAAAGAAACACAGGGAAAGCTAGGGCTAAGTGTTTCTTCAAAGGACTCTACTGGGTTTTGTTTTTAAGACATGGTTGAAGAATGAAAATACAACAGGGTGGAGAATCCCGAATATTTTGAACAATCAAGTGGTACTGCCTTAATTCAAAGAGAGGTAGAGTTTTTACAGTATTCAGAATTGTTGGACTCAATTTCCTTACTTTTGCACTTCCTTAAGAGCCTGAACCTAAATGTTACAATCATAATATTTGTTTGCAACCTGGCTAGCCATGTAAAAGCATTAACCTTCATGGTTCATTTGATGAGCCAAAGACTTCTGTTTTACCTCCTGGGAGAGGAGGCATCCATTTTTAATCAATGTTTAACAGAGATAAATGGGACATAATCATAAGACAAAAGTCATAGAAAAGGGAATTTTAAGTGTGGCTAGTCAACCAAATACATATACTTAGCAAACTAATATACCGGCTAAGGACACAGGATTTAAAATCAAGCAGACATAGGTTTGGTCTCCAGTTCACTCCTTACTATTCATTACTTATGTAACAACTCCTTCTTTCGCTTCTCTCCTTCCCCCCTCCCTCTCTTCTCCTCCCTTCTTCTGTTAAAATATATCTATTGAGCATTTACTATGTACTGGGTTCATGCCATAGACTAGTGGGACAGTTATCTGACATTGCTGAGGGAGGACATGGAAAGTTTATAGGGAAGAAATTTGTGGTGTGTGAGACAAGCAAAAGTGTAGATGCAGAAGTAAGCCAGGCTGGGACAAATCTGAGCAGACTGGAAGCAAATAATGGGGGGTGCGTTTGGAAAAACATGTTAAAGTCAGGTTGTGAAAGGCTCTGCATGCCAGGATAAGCAATTTCAAATTAACTATGCAGATAATTGGCAAACAATTAGAAACTGAACGATTTGGAAGGAAGTCTAGTACAGAAAGCCAAAGGAGGAGACTATTTCAAGAATAGTTTACTATGTACTTCAGAGCAGACAAAAAAGAAATGGATTTAACTGTTAAAAGGATATGATGACCATTAAAATAACTTTGGGTGGTGGGGATAGAAACCAGTGGTGGGGATGAAAGAGGGGACTGAGGGTGAAGACATGGAGCCTGTGGGGCAAGAGTTCCACGGGAAGCTTTAGCAGAATGGGAAGGAAATAGTCTGGTAGAGATTGAGAAAGCAGTGAGGCCAAGGGCAGCTATATTTTTCCTAAGATGAAGAGTTACTAGCTATGTGTGAAGTAAAAAGACCCGTGTGGAGAGCCTGAAGATTCTAGGGTGCAAGAGTTTGAACTGACAGCTGAAGTGCAGAGGGAAGTCTTGCAGAGCTGGGGCAGCACTTCTTCCTCTGAGATTGAAGGGTATGACTTGACACTGAGATCTTTTTTGTAGCAGGGAGGGAATCAAGGCAACGTTTATCTGTGTACTCCAGGTGAGCTCTTATTAGAGAGTGGCAACATCAGGCTACAAAAAGACCAAGTGACTGAGGCTGTAGAAAGACAAACATCAAAGAGTTTAGCCCATCAATAGATTCAGTAGGAGCATCAAACCATTCTGATTCACACTCCAGAAACCTTTCTACTTCCTTCTGTGCTGTGTAATGTGGGAAGGTTGCAGTGCAAACATTCAAAGAAATGTAAAGCGCCCTTGATCTTCACCTCAATGGCACAGGGTTATAGAGACTACAGGTCCAATGCAAAGACCATTATTTGTCCCCGAAGTCACCAAATAAAGAGAAAGTTAAAGGTTAAAATGAATGGATATTTATGTAGACATAAACACATCCTAGAAGTTAGTGATTGTAGAAGAGGGTCACTCAATTCTGTGTGAATATGTCTAGTCTACATTCAAAGCATCAACTCTGAAAACTTTATTGCCAAACTCCTCCCAAACTTGTATATACTTTTCTTCTACCCTCCACCTCCAGGGTTCAAGGGGGCAGGTAAGACAGCTTCTGAGGATTGCAGATCTGGTTGCATCTTTATTTGAGCGCCGGGTTGGGAAAGAGGGAGCGAAGGGGTACCCTGTGTGCAGAGCCCTCCTCAGTGACCACCGGGGGCTTGCACTCCAGCAATAATAATTCCACGCAAGAAAAGCTGAAGTTTTTATATCTGGCCAGGCATCCTCAGTCTAGAGAATCCTGTGGGCTAAGGAGACCCTAGTGTGCACTTGAAGAGCAGAGTAAGTGCGTTTGGCGGGAGAGGGCACAGTGCTGACTGGGCATCTTTGCTTTGGAGTCTTCCCTTTCGCATCAGCCTATCTGTGCCAACAGCTGAAAACTGGGGCTGCGGGCAGGAGGCGGGGTGTCAATCGGGAACACTGACCCATTGGCCCTGTGGCTGCACGAGGAGTTAGGGGAGCCCTGGGCGCAAGCCTGGGATAGCCTGATCTCTGCTCCAGTCCACAAATCCTTAACGGATTTTCTTTCTCTCCCTTCACCCTTTTCTCTCCTTTGCTCTCTTTCTTTCTCTCTCCCTCTTTTTTTTTCCTTTTTCCCCTCTTTTCCCCCTCCCTCCCCGTCCCCTTCCCTTCCTCTCCCATCCCCCTTTCCCCTCCCCCTCCCCGTGTGTGAGCCTCTTCCTTTCCCCTCCTCCCCTTTTCCGCCTCCCTCTCTCTCTCCATCTCCTTTTCCCTCTCAGCTCGCCGGGCGACCCTGCTCCTGCCTCCCACATTAATGGCGGCATCTTCGGAGGATGATATAGACCGGCGGCCCATCAGAAGAGTCCGCTCCAAGAGCGACACGCCGTACCTCGCCGAAGCCAGGATCTCCTTCAACCTAGGGGCAGGTAAGGACGACCCTCTCGCCTTGCTCTCTCCCCCACCCCGCTTCCTCGTCTCCCTTCCCTCCTCGCCGGCTGGCTCAGCCCCCTGCCCCTCCTTGGGTGTCCCCCTCCCGGCAGTGCCCTCCCTTCCGCCCCTCTTTCTACCCAGCCGGGCGCCGGGCTCGCTCTCTCGCTCTTTGTGTCGCCGGTATTCGGAGGGGTGTGTGTGTGTGTGTGTGTGTGTGTGTGTGTGTGTGTTGCGGAGGTGGGGGAGGGTAGTGCGTGGAGCCCTACATCCGCCCAGGAGTCACACGCGGGCTTTCCCCTTCCATGAGGAGAAGAAAGTGTTGTCAGTGGTAACAATGATCTTAGGAATCACCAAGAGCTGGATCGGGATGCGAGTGCACTGGCTGTGGGCGGAGGGTCTGGCAAGGCTCTGCTGGTGAGGTTTGCTGGCAGGGCTACTACAGGGTGGAACTTGTTGGTGACATTCAGACTGGTGATTTTGCTGGGTTGATACCACTGCTGCGGGTGTGGGCTGGGGAGAGAGTGGGGGGTTGACAGCTAGGAACAGGACCTTATGCTTTCACCAAGCAGTTGGAGAGCAACCCTAGGGAAGATGATAATAATAACACGGTCCATAGGATACATGTTAGGTGATTTGATTCTGTCACTGGTACTGGTGCCCAAATTGGCCCAGATGGAATTAAGTGAAAAGGACAACTGAGGTAAAGGAAGGAGGGAGGTGGGAGGGAGGAGGATAGAGAGGGAGGGAAGAAGGGATGGAGGGAAGGAAGAAGAAGGGGCAATAGAAAGGACTGAGGGATTCAGAAAATCAAACTGCTTCAGTTGAGACCTCTCAGGGTACCTGATAAGAGGCACCCAATGTCTGCTGTCCCCTCTGCTGCAGCTGCTCCAGATTCACAGGCCGAGCTCACCCTCTGTTACTAGTAGATGGTCACTATCACTGGGAGGAAGTTGTTCGCCACTAACTTCATAGTGCTGCCTTTTCTGAATGCCTCCTAAGCTCCCCAGCTTGTGTTTCTTCCTTTCTAGAGTCCCTTAGTATTCTAGCAATTCCAGTGCAAAAAGAGTGAGGGCATTTTTCTGAAGATCCTCCCTCAAAATAGGTTTGAAACGAGTTAATACCTTTTTCTTTAGAAAACTAAATCTCTGGAAATGGAAAAGAATCAAAGTTTGTGTGTGCATGTGTTGGAGCAAAGAGGACCTTCAAATGATAAGTATTGCATACACTATTGAGAAGTTTGGACAAAAGAGAAAACTTTGAGTAGAGAAACAAGATGTGGTGGCCACGTACCCGTATCTTCACAACTGGAAGAATGGCAATGGAAAGTACCAAAGTGGCCAAGGTCCTTGGAGTGCTATTTTCCTGTCTTGGTGATTTGGGGTTTTGATCATATGTTCCTTGTCACTCCTAAAATGTTTTCCTCTGGATTTAGGGCTAGGGAAATGAGGTCTTTATCGGGGGAAGCTTTGGCCATTTTTGTGGCATGCTGTAGTAGCCTATGGTCTCATTATGGAACTCTTAATCCTTCACTTGTATGTTCCAGATTCAGGGTGTGGTTGTGAGGAGTCTTCAAAAGGACTGAGAAGAGTTTCTTTTATGACTGAGATTGTTTTCTCACTAAGTGATATTAGAAATTGTACCACTTACCCCTTTGCTACCACACTCTGGTATATTCCTTAATGTCTTTGGCTTAGCACAGGAGAAAAAGGGCTAGAGTGGGTTAATAATGGTTGTTTACCTTGTTTTACTTTTACAACAAAACAATAACATAAAACACTAAAAGGGAGCTCCAAGTTTCAGCCACTCCTGAGTTGGGTTGAGCCATTTTGCCACCAGATTAAATCCAGTGACTTGCAATCTTTTATTCTGGTTGAATTACTCTGGAGGGCAATTAAAAGATTGGACTTTTCAGACAAGACTTGTCTGCCTTTAATCTGGAAATAAACAAGCCCAACAAGCTTCCAGTCCCTTCTATATGTCCCTTAGAATCCCCCTAAAAGCAAAATCAAGAAAGACACCAGCAAGAAAGAGAAATACCATCCAGAGGATGTTGGAAAGAAGGGAGGGCGACTGCAGTGGGCTGTGTTCTGCGGTTAGGGGAGCTGTCCTCTCTCTGTGGTGCTGAAGCGAAGGACTGTGTGACAGAGACATGACTGTAAGTGGGGGAGGGGTGCCCAGTCCCTCCAAATGATGGAATCCCAGGGAAAACTCAGAAGATCTAGCCACCGAAAACTTTTCTATCCCTGCCCACCTACATTTACCGCCTGTTTACTACGCCTCACGCCTACTACTCCACTGCTCACATCAGGCAGTTCTGCTCTAATTTTGTGCAGGCTGCTCACTCTTGGCGCTTTGTTTATTTTCCAGCTGGTTTCTGGTTGCTTTCCTGACATAGTAAGATCTACTCGCAGATGTGCCTTTCCCCCGCGTTTAAAAGTAATTGTAACCCCTGGTTTAAAAAGCAAACAGCCTTGTTTATCTCCTTGAGCAGCAAGTTGTAATTAAGCTATTAGTGTCGTTATCAGCATTACTGAACAGAGGAGCCTGCACACTTCGGATAAATTACATAATTTGGGCATAGAGAGAATTTTGTTTGTCTCTTAACAATAATTTATAAACAATTAAGCAAGGAAGCTTTAATCTGCCCTTTATTCCCACTCCTCTTCTACCCTCAAATAGTCACTTACTGTTTATTCTTTCCAGAGAAATTCTTTATTGGTTTAAACTATTTATGTTTAATATTTGCTTTCTCACACCCACTCATTATATATAAGTCCATGTTTAATATTTTAGAGGTTTAGTAATGCTTCATGGAATAAATATATATATATTCATTTTATTTGGATATCACAAAATCATTTTGGGTACCAACTCCCTTAAACTAATCTATATAGTTGCCAAATAAAGTGAACTGGGCATTTTGAATACTAATTAAATACTTAAGCATCCTTTCAACTACATCTTGTCCCTGAGGGCACTTAATATCATTTCAGAAATAACTCCACAGCTTGAGTGAAGGATATCCTCCTTCACCTACAGTCCCAAGTCAGTCAAAGAATAGCACCAAAATGTGGGTCTTAAATCACTTTATGAAGATGCAAATTTCAAGTTTCAGCCTAAACTGAGTATAGAACAGAAATTTTCTGAACCATGACTTCCATTTTTTCTAAAAGAGCCCCTTTTGTAGGTTTTTAACTTCTCTTCAGCACTTAGTATATTATGCTAATATTGATAATGATTGTTTACTGAAGATAGTATAGATGTTAGAGAAAATTAAGCCAAGGTATTTGCTGAAACTTACCCAGACACATCAGACCTCATTTAAAACATTGGAAGAGGTTTTTTTTCCTGAGAAATTAAAATGTGTTATAAGGACATCGTGTAACAGAAGAATATGTTCACACTATTAGTAGCAAGTGTTTCTAATTGTGTTCTCACTTAGTAATGAACATCACTGACATTTAGCTTGTGAGAACTTACCCTGCCTTATGAGGTCATTCATTCACTGCATTGAAGTAAATGCAATGAAGAGTTGCTGCTCATCTGGTGGATGTTTTCCTATAAGCTAGTGTGTTTTATTTATCTTTATACTGAGAGCACATAGAAGAGTATTTGATACATAGAAGTTGCTGAAACTGAAAAGTTCTCTGCAATTACACACTGAGGTGAATGGAGGTATTATGGTAAATAGGAGATTTAAGCACATCAAAAATTTCTTAGAGGATGTCAAAAGAAGGAAGGCTAGTTACCCTGATGATTTAGGATTGTTTAAAACCCAAAACCAATATTGAGCCATGACTGAAAACAGTAACTACTTCTCTAATCATAAGGAAGTTTAACCTTTGTTGACATTTCAGAATTGCTTTTGCATGGAGTAGATTTTAAGTTAATAGCATGGTCAACCTCAGAATACCTATCCTCCTTGGGAGGTCAAGATCTGTTTTAGTTTCGATGTCACCCAAGAATAGCTGTTTCTGACTTCTACTGGTCTTCTCCATTCTTTTAGGCACAGAGGATAATGGCAGTCAAAATTGGCTTGTTCTGGCTACCTGTAAGAATGGCTGGGTCAGCCAGATTAAGTTATAAACTGGGTCTCAGGAGATCTCTTTCCTGCCTTTCTTGAGGAGGAAAACTTTTTCTCTTAGCTAAATTATGAAAACCTATGATACTGAGAAGTGACAGCCCAGAATGTGCCATTATCACTTAGCAAAGAGAACTGTCCCTAGGCAAAATTGTAAATATTTTCATACTCACCCAAGATTGTTTCACCAATCTGAAGGTCTTGATAAGCATCTTCCTTCACTCTTTCACTGAAGAATGCCAATGTCTCCCTCATAATATATTTTTTTACTGATTTCAAATTGAAGGCAGATCATATGGGTCTAGCTTTTATTTGGTGGGCCCAAAATCTCCTTGAAAGTATTGCTTCTAAAAGAAAGGAAAGAAGGAAAGAAAGAAAGAAAGAAAGAAAGAAAGAAAGAAAGAAAGAAAGAAAGAAAGAAAGAAAGAAAAAGGAGAGAAAATACTGCTTTTCACATTCAGTAGCCACAATCCAAATGGATGGCCATGTAGTTGACTAGAAGCCTCTATTATGGGACTCTCTGAGGGTCTGTTGTTAAAGCTAACCAATCTGGTAATCTCATTATGTAATGCATTCAGATGGTACTGATGAAACCACTCCAGGCAATATAAATAATATAAACAAGGTTAAGAAAAGTAAATAATTAACAATATGAGAAAATGGGAAGCCCTTTGCTATTAATATTTAACATGGCTGCTTACCATGTCATCGTTTCAACAACAATCCATATGTTTATGAGACAACTCAAGTACAAAATCTGTGTCACATGGTAAATTTTCTTGGGATCTTTGGTCTAGGCATTATTAATTTTTTTTAACATCTAAGTATTATATTTACTATTATCTTATCACCAAATGATAAGTTACTTGTTTAATTTGTCTATAAGGGTATATATATTTTGATTTTATGGTAGAC